GGTGTTTTTGTGTTTGTTCTAAACTGTTTGCTTTTGTATCTAATTCATGGGAAATTATTTTCGGGGTAATTATTTTGATGCGGCATTAGCTGACTGTTAAATATCTCCATCATGGCGTTGTTTGTTTGATATCGGACAATTATTTTCAATTCATTAGTATTGCATCTATTTTCTTTTCAGTTTTAGTTTTTTGCTTCGTCGTTTGTTTATTTTTGTTTAATTTCCCTTCCGTTGCCCTGCGTTTAATTGAAAAAGTGCTGCCTAATTAGTGAAAGGCTTTCACGCTCGTTTGTATCTGTATCTGTATCTGTAGCTGTAGCTGTATCTGTATCTGTGCGTGTTTGTGGCAGTACCAGTCGCTGTGTGGGTGTATCTGTAGCTATTGGCTGTCAAACCGCTTTCGCGGCAGCTGTTCTTTCTGCCAATTTTGTCAGAATGTCAGCCGCTAAAATGCCGGCGACTGTCGGACCATAAATGAATACATATGTACATACATTCTGGTTCTGCGTGTGGGCTGGGTTGAGCGTGTGTCTATGATGTGAAAATGAGCATATGGCCGACTGGGTGACATATAAATGTCACCCCAGCGAACACATTTTAAAATCTATATCGCAGGAGCGAGTTTCCAAGGAATGGAATCGACAATTAGGTATCCACAGATTTGTCTATTCTGCGTTTCAGCGTTTATTTAACGTGATTCCTTTCACAGAGTAGCTACTGCTATAGCTATAATTATAGCTAAACGCATTCTTTCAGACTGTACATAGACTATTTGAATGCTTGGTAAAAACAAGTCGCTTCTATTTTTCGTATATTAGTAGAACAAATCCCAAGCGTTGAGCGAGTGTCACGCACATTTCTCCACTCTCCCAAGACCCAGCTCCCTCACATTCGAACCCAATGGCAATGTCTATGCGCATTTTTCTATTATTTATTATTTTTATTGAGCCCCAACTCGTGTGGGAATGTACATATAAGGATGACTATAGGAGGAGGACCAGGGCATGCCGTGCCGACAGCTGCCATTGATTTCGTTTAGAGGCGAGCAGAAAATTAGCCACGTTTTCATTTCATTTGCATGCAGTGCTGCATTAAAATTATATTCATGTACATTTATAAATATGTATAGATGTACATACATACATGTACATACATGTACGTGTGCGTATCTGCAGCGCAATAATATTTGCCTCTGATTTGATATAATAACATTGCCGCCTGTCGCATAAATAATGCATTGCACGAGCACAAGGAGCTTTATTGGAAAACACCTATTTTTATATTTACCTATCGAACTATTGGAATGGTTTTATTTCAATCAAGTTCGCTTTGATCAAGCTCCTGAGTTTCTTAGGCATCTTATAGGCATGTACATACGTACATATAATTGAACTTCCTTTTCTCTTTCCTCCTGTTCAAGGTGAATTCCTGGGAAACTCAATTATGAACACTCAAAGTACTCAATGGGGAGAGATAGGCGGTCGACAAGTCAATTTCTGTATCGATACGTAGAGGAAAAGCAATTAAATAGTCTGGTTCGTATGAGAAAATTCTTAAAATTGAAAATTATAATTATTCATTGCGGGGAGAGCTTTATAGAAAATGGCTATAGTCAGTCACTCATATTGGCTGTTTGGCGAGCTCTTAAATATAAAACATTTAACGCTCGCCTTTGTGGACAGCGCGACGCATTCGCTTCATTTGTTGAATGCATAAAGCCACGGCCGTCCCATCATGGGCTCTTGTGTCCGTCGGGCCCATTGTGAGTGGGTTTTCCATCATATTGTTCGCTCTTATTTTTAAAAATTTTTTTTTTATATTTTTTTTGTATTCATGCAAACAAGTAATGAAGTTCTCTTCTTTGCTGTGGATCGCTGTTGCTTTGTTGTTTTTATTCGGCTTGATATTCTTTTTATCGATGCACGTTAAATTTTATTGCAATTGTTATGCGCTCACATCTTTGATGGGTGGTGTGATGTGGAGTGGTGCCGTGGCGTTTTATATTTAATAAATTTAAATCACTTTATATGTGAGTTTTATGTGCGTTAATAATGCGAATGAACGAGCGAAATGCGTTTCCACTTTTTCTCCATTCTTTATTGACAAAGAGCAAAAATTTCAAAGGTAATTTATTCCGCACAGTCTACGCCATACAATATGGACATAAACTAACCGGCATTTGAGTGGGCTGTGGGTGTGTGGGATATTAATGATGTTTTTTGGCATTTATTTTAAATGAGTTGAGTGCATTGAATCTCTGGCAAAAGAGTCATCCACTTTTAATGGTCTTACACTTACATATGTAGAGACTTTGTATACAAGTTTCAATTAGGAACTATCTAATTAACATACAAAAATTAGCGAAAAATACAAGAGTATGCCAGTACGCAGGCGGAGAACTGATATTATTAAGACTGATATATCCCAAACTAAGTCATTCCACTGTTGGGTGGATTGGCAAAAGTGCTTGCGTATTTGTATGCCAAATATGTCAGGGACGACTTAAACTGTCGCCTCTATTTTTCCCATTTGCTTTTAAACTACTCTCGCATGTAACCGAATTTGAAAAGAAACTGTTACTTTGACCACGCCACACCTCCCACACTCGCTCTCTCTCTCTCTCTCTCTCTGTTCTTCACTTCGTGTCTGCATCTTAAACTTGGAATAAAGTTTCCTTCTCCCTCTTTTTTGGGTGCACTTTTGGCTGTCAACACATCGACATAACGGCACATTCGTCCAATTTACACACAAGTTTCGTGCCGGGGCCGCCAGGCGGAGCCACTCGAGGCAGGACTTCAGCGCCAGACAAGCATCATCGTGCCTCTGGCTGCGTCGGGGCGGCGTCGGAGTCAGGCAAACTTGAACTTTTGTGGCCAGCCAGATGGCTGGGACGACTACTGCAGAGGGTCCTTTAGTGTACAGTACTTACATCTATCCGAATATATGAATGTACAGATATATTTTCCTGATATATATATATACATACATACATACATACATCAAAGTGCCCACGCCCACAACATTTTTGGCAACCGCGCGCATTCCTCGCACTCTAATTACATGTTGAGCCAGGGCCAGGGAGGAGAGGGCCAGAGAGAAAACTCAAACGGAAAACTCGGCTTGAGCATGCGTTGTGGTTTTTCATTTGCATTCGCTTGGAAGAACTTCGTTCTGGAGTTTTAAGTGAATGAAATTTCTTGGTTCTGGTCCTGCTGCTTCCGCTCCCTGCATCCTCGACCACTTCTTATGGCTTGTGAGGATAATTAAATTTGGTACAAGTACCCGGCGCAGTCCATATCTACTTCTATATTTTACTTATGATTTCTTCTCATTTTTTGGTCTTGTCACTGGCCCTCAAGTATGCCGAGCTGCGATAATTTCAGGCGAGCAGGCAAATTCCCAGAGTTTTCGCTTCACGGCTTAGTGAGCAACAACAATTTTGCTGCAATGAATGCACTTCCCCCACTGCCGCCACAGCATCCCTCCCTCCTACTTGTTTTGGGTTTTCTTGTGCTAAACTTTATGGGGGAAAATCATTTATCAATGTCAGAGAATGAAGCACACTCCCACTGCGCACGAGAGAACTTGTGTGTGCCGTCAGATTGCTACGGCCTAGCCTCTCATACGAATAGTGCAGTCTGAAAGTGCGTGAAACAAGTTGGCAAAACTTCAGACTTTGTTTCGTTTCACAAAATAGTCAAGTGATTTCCAAAATTATGCTCCCGCATGAGTGCATCGCTCCGCCTCAGACACGATATAAGCTTTTTATGAACATTTCATTCCGAAAGACAATTTAGTTGAAATAATAACAACGATCATAAGATGCTGGCTGAGTTAGTGAGCCTGGTACTCAAAGAGAACAGGGGTAAATATTTAAATGGGGTGTACGTTACGAGTACAGATGTGGGTATGTATTAAAGTAGTAATCTACAAAATTAAATAAATATGTACTGAAGTTGGATCGCTTCAGAGCCCGCCATGCATGGGGCGGGATATATATTTTTTTGACAAGAAAAAGAACATTTGATAAACAATGGCATAAAGTTGATTCTGCAATTCAAGGCACTTCCTGGTCATCTGATTATTTCCAAATGAGGCGTGGCTTTGTCTTTGGCTTATGCCACAAACTTTTGCACTTAGCGGCAGCTCTCCCGCCATACCCGTGCTCTCTGTGTGAAGCGCTCGAGCGAGTGTTCGTTCTAATCCCCTGGCCGCCACTTGTTTGCTGGCGAAACAAGTTTGCACTCAAAACTCGTAAATAATGGATGGAAAAAGCGCAACCGCACCATTCATAATGGAAAAAGTTGCCCAGCCACTTGAAACTATTGCACAGGCACTGGGCCGGATTCCGGTGGGCTGGTCGGCCTGGTCTGGTCTGGTCTGGTCTGGACTATGGTGGATCAAGCTGATGGCTGGCCCCCTGCCCGGACATTGCATGCCGTCACGCCTTTGCTGGGGATGCAGCACTTGCCGCCGGCGTTATTGTCATGTGTACAGTAAAAATAACAAATAACAAACAGAGAGCACAGGGCACAGCCCCAGGACAGCCACAAAGACGGACTCTGGACGACCCGATGCTGTTATTGCATTGGCGGCGGCTGTGTTGTGGCCTTGGTGTGGTTTGCTCTAGCCGGGCCCTGTTCCAGTCCATGGCATTCCGACAGCATAACCCACATTCGTTTTGGAGCCAAGGTTATAGTCACATTTTTAATATGCTGTCTCTTCCGCTGCTGGATGTTGTTTATGATGCGCATATCCAATGAAATTGTATAAATGGATATTTGTGAAATAAATGTAAAATGGCATTCAGCTTTAAATTCCGCAGGATGTGAGAGGGAGCTATAACTTTGGTCCACTTCCTCAAATAGAAGGCAATAAATCTCAATACTTATGAACTTAAATGATGTAATTTAAGTATCTAAGCGCCTTTTTAAAGACTCTGTTTAAGACTTTTCTCATAGCATATAGCTTAAACCATATTGAATTATCTTCTGTCTCACCTTTAGCCATTCACTGATTTATTTTCCGTTTGCAGTGGTTTCCCGTCCCGGCCCTGAACTTGAGGGAAGAACGCGATGGGGATGGCGACGCAATTAAAATCTGGGCCACCCCGGCGCAGCGGATAAACGCTGCTGAAAGCCGGGTACGGCGGAAATTGGATTCGCACACACACTCCTGAAAACAGATGTCGCCAGAGCACACAAACAAAGCACTCCGGGGTGTTTGTGTGCGAGTGTGGTGGGCAGTACAGCAATTATTGTAATATGCGTAATATTTCGACTTTAGTCTGAATCTTGTGCGGACTTATGAAAATCGATTTAATTTATGCTGCATATATTTGCATAGTCTCTTCTTTGGGAGAATAGTAAGTTTGAGGTCGACCGTACGACTCTTCTCACACGTGCTTCAAACTCGTAAATTCGCAGCTTTAACGGACCCGGCGAAAACCGAAGCCGGACGAATCCACCATCAACCACGCGATTCGAACAACTGAGTGCGAGTGCGAGTGCGGCCCGGCAAAGGGCCGGCAATGTTCTCCAGCGTGAGCAGCGAGTCGACATCGGAACGACCCCGCCAATGAGAGTACCACACTCGCTCAAGCGGCACTCGGCCCATCGTACGACTCGTGACGCTCGTGGGCTCTGCGCAGACTCTCACTCTGAGTTGAACTGCTGCAGAGTGGTGGGTTTGGTTGAACTGTTATCTTCGGGTGCTGTTAAAGAAGCAACAGTTTGGTGCGGTCCATGGAGATGTACTCGGATAAATATGTCAAAATTCCCCTCTTGCTATAAATATGATTTTAACAGTCCCCTTCAAGTATTTTACCTCTGTTACTGAGCAGAGACAGACAGACAGTTTCTAATTTCTTGACTGCAGACAGTTCTGTTTTGCAATGGGAGATTTAAGATTTAAAAGTTCATAAGTCAAGGCATAAGAAGAGAGTAAATTATTTGAAAATAAATAGTTTTAATATATTTCTTCTTTATTTTTAATTATTCATTTGTTATTATTAATTTATAATGTATTCAGACTCGTATTTATGAGTCTGCTTTACAGAATAGTTTCTACTGTGTGGTTTATCTTCCCCACATACTTAAAACCTCCACACTCTGTCTGGCTGTCTGCCTGTCTGCCCACTCTCGGCAATGGTTAAATTAAGGGAACAATGGGAAAGATAATGCGAATGCCAAATTGGATTCAATTAAATTAATTTGTGGGCACTTTGGCATATGCAGCTCACTGCGAAAAGAATACGGAAGTGGAGTTTGATAAGTAAGTGCTTTAAATTATGCATATAAAACCCAATTAGCCAGTAATAGCATTGCCCACAAAAAAAGTGCAGAGCCATAACCGATGTCAGATTCTGCAGTTTCCGCCGTTGCTCTGGCCTGCTGCTCGCCTGGTACTTTATTCTACAATTTTCCCACATTCTCAGATCTATTAGGGATGGCCTTTACATAATGCAACAGCTGGCTGAGTGCTGCAATCACCCAACACCCAACACCCAACACCCCTTAGGGCACAGTCCTCTTGGAACTAACGCAGAGCACTGCCACTGGCTCTTATGAAGTTCAACAAATTATTGTGAATGGGATTTTTTGTTTTTTCGGGGTTGATTTGTATGCAGCGCTAAAAGCTTGAAAAATGTTTTACCCGCACGTGTTTCCTGCGCTTTGATAGAAATACCCCACACACACACACGCGGGCACACTCGCAGCACACATTCGAAAGACATTATATAAATAAAATGGGAGAAGAAAAGCACAACAATGAAATGCCAACTCGGTGCTGGCTAAGGGGGCTGACGGCGACAGTTACATTACAATCTGAGGCGTGGGACACTGAAAGGGAGTCAGCAGTGAAGAGATTGGAGTTCCTCTCCGTAGAGCATGTGACAATTTTAGAGAAAAAGTATAAAATTCTTCTCGGTTTTATGCTGCGAACAAGAATGGCAGTCAAGCAAGTGTGAGTCCAAGTTGGTTTTTCCTGGAAATAGTGCTATATGGGATGTAACCATATCGTACAACTAGTACTTAATTGAAGAAATTTCTGCATAGCTTGGTTCGAGTTTCTCTACTAGAAGAGACATTATAACTCTAATGAGTGACGAGACCAGGGCCAGGCCATACAAGTCTGATGTTTAGGTCAGCATACACGTTTGGCTGGTGACTGCCTTAGGGCTCCCCCCAAAAGGAACTCCCATTTCAAGGTGTGTTCCTGTTAACTTTGCAGATTTCGCCGGCTGACGGGCTGCATTTGCTCCAAATTGAATCCTGCGAGAATGCGCGAGACAAACATCTAAATTGTCAACGTAATGCGACAAAATATTGAAGTCAGCAGGCAAAGTCAGCTCGGCGGCCTCGGCCACAGTTTCGGGCTCTGGCTGTGGCTCTGGCTCCCAGCCACACCAGCCACACCTGACACATCTTGTCCGTTTCTATCCCTATTCCTGTCACTAGTCGCGCTCCTGGATCTGTCGCTACTGTGACTCAATTCAGCTGTGCGAAGCTTGCCGGGCACGAATTCAATTTCGCGTCCACAGATGCCATTCACCTTCGGCACGTACGACTATCAACGTCAACAAGTTAGCAGCGGGCGGATGGGGAGCTGGAGCGGGAAGGGCTCCTCCCAGGGATGCTGGTGGGGGGCGTGGCAGAGTAAAGTGGAAAACAGCAGTCAGACAATACAATTGCTTCCTTGACTGCATCTAAGAGCCAGCGCGGACTCGCCGTCTTCGCAGCCAACGCTCCCCGTGCTCCTGACACTTTTTACTGAATTATTTATATCGTTTTCTTTACCATTTTCCTTTTTTTTCCGACCCCTCTCTCTCTCTCTACCATCGCTCATTATTTTCTTTTGTCGTAGACTTGTCCAATTTTATTACTCTGGGTTGTCAATAAGCTTGAAATTTAAGACGTACTCGTTTCGAGTCCGGTTGTGTGGATAGTAATTAAATACATATTTCCGGCATTGCGCGAATCTTTGATTACCGCTGAGATTTGGTGGGACGTGGGACCTGGGCTTGTGCTAAAATTAAATATGACTGTGAAATATTTTCAAATTGTGGACACGGAAAAAGTTTGCTGCACCAAGACGTCCCCGTCCATATGCCCGTACATTTTGTTACTTCTTTGGTTTGCCCGTGGGAAATCTGCTAACAGAAAATAAAAGTTTCTGGTCAAGTGAGTGCAAAAGTTTTAAGTGACGCACTTTTTCACCAAGCTCTATCCCTTTCCACAGCCTCCACAGTTGCTGGCCTGCTCCTTGTGGGCCAGAGTTCGAGATTACTTTTGTCGTTCGAATTTGGAAGAGTGGAATTTTATTAGGCTTGACTTATGGGCCATCTGCCGTATACATGTGTCCCAGCAAATGCTTGTAGTTCTTGATTAAACTCTACATCTGGGAGGCAAGTTGAAGTGGACATTAAGCTGTGAAATGTTTGCTGCCAAAGCGGAATATATGAGCGGAACCATACATGCCATACAATGTACTCTCCTCTAACATACTTAGAAACCACTAATAAAATTCTTATATTTTTTGACCCAAGTTAAGTGTATGAACTGAGCACATACTTTGGTTGGTTTTTCTTATTTTGAAGCGAATACTTCACAGGAAACTAAAAAGGCCACAGAATAATCCAGACCACTGTCTAAACTGAGTGTAAATATATTTTTTTTCAGGTATTTCAATTTCATACCAGAGACGGGATCTTCTCTGGGCACGCTCTGGAAGATGGATGGAGGTGTGGCCAAGTGGCAAGTCGACGGGGAGATATAGTGCCATAAACAAATTCGTAATTGCCTTGTAATGCCTTGTGTTGACAGGACTCCGACAACCAGATAAGGTCCTAGGCTCAGCGAGAGAGGTATGTATGAAGCTGGAAATTAGCATAAAACTTCAATTCCGCTTTCGCATATTGCGGCCGATGCGGAAAGAGCAGAGCGAAAAGGGCAAAAACCATAATTTACAAACAAATCGCAATAGATTGCCAACTATAAAACAGGCGGGCTTACGTGGCTACAGTCTCACACATGCGGACAAATATACGTTACTCCTGCATTAATTAGTAGTTTATTCTAACTTTCAAGGCTTGGCCGGACCGCACACAATGGAGTGTGTAAGTCCTCGTGCGAGTATATGGAGTGTAAATGAACTTTTTGTGCATTTGACTAATTTAATTTCAAAGTTCTGTCTGTTCAAATTTTATGAATATTTAAAAACTTTCGGCCCCCCAAAAATGATTCCCTGTCTGTGCCTGTGTGCGAAGACAAAGCCTCCTTCGAATTGAAAATTCATCAAAAAAGTTGAACAGTTTGTAAAGTGGATAAAATATTCATGCATGCAAGTTTATATTAGTCAAAAAGTTGGATTGTCTAATAATTCACTAAAAAGCAATTAGCTCGCTCCTAGCATACCTCTTTCTATGCAAGAATTTCCACTTCAAATCAATGAAAAGTAGTTGAGTTGAGATGTTTTCGGTCATATTCTGTGAGTGAATAATGATGGCATCGAAAAGTTTTCAATTTGAAAACTTTCCATCGCTCACAGCTGATTTTGATTTTTAAATGTCCACTGAGACCCTTCAAAATGATTTGATTTCTTGACAAGTTATTCTTTCATTTTGGAAAAGGCAATGGAAGTTTTTACGTGGAAACAGCGGGAAGCAAGCAAGGTCTTCTTTGGGATAGTACGAGCAGAAGGAACACTCTCATGACGAGGCATATGATTCTCTTCCAACTCCATCATCCAGAGCTATGAGTACTTAGAAGCACAACAAAAACGAGCATATCGCAGAAAGTGCTAATCGAGGAGCCTCATAAATATGTATAGGCGACTGTTTCAGTTGTTATATGTTAATTTGGGGCAGAAGTGCCGGCACAGTTACATCTTGAGCATCTGCCAGTGTGGTAAATAATATTTACATGCCTCAGCATTTGCATAGCTAACGACAAAAACTGCTCTTCGGGCCGCACGAGCACATGCGGACACCTCGCCCCACTCATGGCTGGCAGACCTAACCCGAACAGTTCCAACACCAGTTTACACAAATTAATGCGAACTCGCACGTGTTAATTCAAGGATGTGCTCAGCTCCTGCCGCTGCTGGGGCTGCTTTATCCCTTCCATGGTATTTGGCATGAATTTGCATATTAGAAAAAGTTTTCTGCTTGTGAAATGTCAGTTTAATATGCGTGAAGTAGTTCTGCACGCCCCCTCCTTGTAAAATGCGCTTAAGAAAAGCGAAGATAAAACTTTGCGCAATCTAACTTTTGGCCCAGCCCTACCCGGCCCGACTCAACCCGGACTGGGGCGTGGGCGGCATAAATAATTAAGGCCACATAGCAACTATGACACTGCCAGGCGGCATCGCCACTGTTCGTAGTGTTTCCCAACACACTGCTCGGGGATAGATTGTTTAAGTTTGCCTGATTTCAGTGACATGTGGGATGGTATGCTGCCACGAGGGATGTATGAAAGTAAGTTTCATAATTGAT